GGGGCGTACATTCTAGTTGGAGGAAAGAGACATTACATAAAGTAACAAAGTTACCTAGCATTTTAGAACTTGGAAGTATAGTGAAGAAAAGTTAAAAGGGAGAAGAGTGAAGGGTAGATGATTGCATTTTAAAGAGAGTACATATGGGGGCGCCTGTGTGGCTTAGTCGGTTGATATCCAACTGTTGGTTTCGGCTCAGGTCGTGATCTCAGGGTCAGGAGTTTGAGCTCAGCGCGGAATCTGCTTGTCCCTCTCCCTTCCCCTCACCCTTCCCCGTTTTTGCTCTCTCGTTCTCTCTCACAAATAAATAAATAAACAAATAGGGTACATATGGTAGGCTTTACTAAGAAGGTGAAATTTGAGCTCAAGTTTATGTAACTAATTGGCATGCTAGAGTTTCTTGAGGATGATTAAAATGATTAAGAAGTGGATTACTTTAAGTAAGGTGTTGTATCCACCAGCCAAAAAATGAAGCTGGACTCCCATACCACTACATATACAAAAAATAACTCAGAACGGATCAGTGACCCAAATATAAGAGCTTAAACTATAAAAGTCTTAGAACAAAATAGAGTCATAAATCTTCATGACCTCAGGTTTGGTAACGGATTCTTAGGTTTGACAACAAAAGCAATGAAGAATAAGAAAAAAAGAAAGAAAGAAAAGAGACTGCGCTTTATTGAATTAAAAACTTGTGAGCATTAAAGGACATTATCAAGAATGTGAAAAGACAATCTAAAGAATGGGAGAAAATATCTGCAAATCATTTATCTGTTGGGGATTTAATATCCTAAATATATAAAGAACTCTTAAAACTCAACAACAAAAAGACAAGCCAACTGAAAAATGAGAAAAGGACTAGAATACACATTTCTCCAAAGGAGATATACAGATGGCCAATAAGCACATGAAAAGACGTTCATCATTGTTCATTAATGAAATTCAAATCAAAACCACAAAGAAACAGCTCTTCACACCTACTAGGTTGGCTTTAAACAAAATAATGGAAAATAACAAGTATTAGCAAAGATTAGATATATAGGAACGATTATATACTCTGGGTAAGAATGTTAAATGGTACAGCCAATATGAAAAATAGTTCCTCAAAAAGTTAAGTACATAATTACCATATGACCCAGCAGTTTCAGTCTTAGGTATATATCCAAAAGAAATGAAAACATATGTCCATGCAGAAACCTATACACAAATGTTGTAATATAGCAATACTCATAACAGCAGAAAGGTAGAAATGACACGAATGTCCACAAACAGATGAATGGATAAACAAATTATGGTGTATACATCCAATGGAATATTATTCAGCCATTAAAAGGAACTAAGTATTGATACATGCTACAACGTGGATGAATTTCAAAAATATTATGCAAAGTGTCACAAAGGTCACATATTGTATAATTCTTTTTTTATGATATATCCAGAATAAGCCAATCCACTGAGACAGAAAGCAGATTAGATGTCACCTGGGGATGGGGAGGGGAGAGTTGGGAGTGATTGGTATGGGGTGTTTTTAATGAAGTGATGAAAAGGTTTTGAAATTAGAGAGAGCTGGTAGTTACAAATTATGAATACATTAAGTACCACTAAACTGTACACTTTAAAATGGTTAATTGTAGGGGCGCCTGGGTGGCTCAGTCGTTAAGCGTCTGCCTTCGGCTCAGGTCATGATCCCAGGGTCCTGGGATCGAGCCCTGCATCGGGCTCCCTGCTCCATGGGAAGCCTGCTTCTCCCCCTCCCACTCCCCCTGCTTGTGTTCCCTCTCTCGCTGTGTCTCTCTGTGTCAAATAAATAAATAAAATCTTTAAAAAAAATGGTTAATTGTATATGAATTTTTCCTTAAAAAAAAAGGTTTTAGTCATTCAAAAAAATTTTTTCATCAAATTTTCAGGATCACGTTTGTATTTTATATTCAAATGTCAGTTCTGTATTTATTCTAGCCTTTAATCACTTTGTAACATTTTAATCTTTTTTAAAAAATATAGCTTTATTGAGATATAGCCCACATATAATAGAATTCACCCCACTTTGTGTGTATATTTTGGTGAATTTTGGTAAACATATGTCATTTAGCAACCACCACAATTAAATTTTAAAAGCATTCAACATCCCAAAAAGTTCCCTTAAGTCTGTTTATACCCACTCCCCAGCCCCACATATTTTCTGACATAATTCTGCCTTCTCTAGGCATTTCTGGGCAATTCTAGAAAAGGCAGAATTACAATAACAGACATTTTGTATGAATGAATTTTGTATGAATGGAATCATACATTATGTAATTTTATATGTCTTTTTTTTTTAAGATTTTATTTTTAAGTAATCTCTACAGCCAACATGGGCTCGAACTTACAATTTTGAGAGCAAGAGTCACATGCTCTACCTACTGAGCCAACCAGGCACGCCCATCTGGCTTCTTTTACTTAGTAAGATGTGTTTGAGGTTCATGTAGGGTTTTTTATGTATAAGTAAATTATTTGTTCCTTTACATTTCTGAATAATTTACCATATTAAGTGTATCCATTTATATTTTGAGGTTACTGGATTGTTTCCATTTTTCAGCTATTATGAATACTTACAAGACTCTTGTATGTTGTATGGACAGAAGTTTCGATCTCTCTTTGGTAGATATTGAGTAGAATTGCTTATTTTCATATTTAACTTCTTAAGAAACTGCCAAATTTTTCCAAAGTGGCTGAGCTATTTTTCAACCCTCATCAGTATAAGGGGTCCAGCTGCTCTACATTCTGGCCAACACTTAGTATTGTGAATCTTTTTAATTACAGTCATTCTGATGGGTATGCAGAGATTTCTTTTTGTGGCTTTAATTAGCATTTCCCTAATGACTAATGATGCTGAGCATCTTTCTGTATGTTTATTAACCTTTGCATATCTTCTTCTGTGAAGTGTCTGAATTTTTTGCCCATTTTTAATGAGTATTTGTCTTATTACTGAGTTTTAAGAGCTCTTTAAATGTCCCAGATACAACTCCTTTGTAGATGTTCTGCAAATACTTTCTCCCAATTTGTGACTTGCCTTTTGAGTGATTTAATATTATCCTTTTTTTTAAAAAAAAGATTTTATTTACTTACTTGACAGAGAGAGCACAAGCAGGGGGAGTTGCAGGCAGAGGGAGAAGCAGGTTCGCCACTGAGTAAGGAGCCCAATGCGGGGCTTGATCCCAAGACCCAGGAATCATGAACTGAGCCAAAGGCAGACACTTAACTGACTGAGCTACCCAGGTGCCCCTAACATTATCTTTTGATGAGCAATCAAACACCTTTTTTTAAGTGGAGCCTATGGGTGGCTTGAACTCATGACCCTGAGATCAAGACCTGAGCTGAGATCAAGAGTCGGAGGTTTAACCAACTGAGCCACCCAGGCGCCCCTGATGAGCAAAATTTTTAATTCTAATGATGTCCAATCTGTCATCTTTTTCTTTTATAGTCTGTACTTTATGTGTCCTAAGAAATCTTTGCTTAACCCAAGTCCACAAAGATTTTTCTCCTGTTTCCTTTTAGAATTAATTTCTGAGTGTATAGTATGACATAAGGGTTAAATGTCACATTTTTTCCTTATAGATATTCCATTATTTCAGTACCTTTATTAAAAAGACTAAACCTTCCCCACTGAATTACCTTGGTAACTTTGCCAAAAATCAATAGAGCATGTAAATGTGAGCTTACTTTTGGATTCTTAATTCTATTCTGTTTTCTATTTACTATTCCCCCCCCCCCCCCCCCCCGCCGCCACCGCCGAGTTTCGGTCACACTCTCCTGTTTCTTTACATGTTCAATAATCTGATTAAAAACTAAGCCTTGTGTATCATACATCATAGTGCCTCTGTATTCCATTTTGTTCTTCTGAAATTTGCTGGTTTTACTGTTTTAATATATAATGAACTTGCCTAGACTCAAAATGAAGAATCTGTTTCTCTGTAGAGAGCTGAAATTTTTTCTCAGGTTTCTTTTTGCCCCCTTTTGCCGGAATCTCTCTTGCGCCTGCACAGCTTTCTGACCAGCCAATGATTTCAACAGAAGTTATACAACGACAACTCAAGCCAATGAAGCCTCCCCTCTCTGCTGCCCAACCTGTGTATGGGTGAAAAAATTCATTCAGATTTGTAGGAAATAAATAAGTCTCCCCAGGCTTTCAATTTTGCTTGTGCTCCCTGGGGAGCCCCATGTTGTTTAGCAGCCAGCCATGAATGCATGCAGGGCATATTATCTCAGCCCTTCCACAGCTCTCTTGTTTCCAGAAGTTCCCCCTTAAGTTTCTTGCTGCTCTGCTACTCTCCCAAACCAAATCAGCCTCTAATTAGTAAACCTGTGGGTCTTTTCACACCAGCTGGGCTGGGCAGGGGAGGGGGTATATCTGGGGGTGGGGGGATGGGAATCCCCTCAAGCAAGAAGCATCTTCCCCAATGCAGTAGCAGTTTTTCCTAAGTAAACATTTTCAAGTTCTTTGCTGTCTTTGGTCATTCTTGAAACTGCTGCATCTAATAATTTTTTTCCAGTTTTATACCATTCTTTCTTTTTTTTTTCCAAGGGAGAATCACCCAACCCACCCAGTCAGGCAGGCGGTCCTTAGTGGAAGTAGCATCTTAACCGTATTTTAAGCACTTATGAATATATTATCATGATCTCATTTATCATTATATGAAACCAAACAAGTTACTGCAAAAGTTAGTCAACTATAGCAGGAAAGAAAATTCTTATTTGCAAACATTAAATTTCAGATGCAATGTCTACAGGGTTGGTAGCACAGTAAAAGATACCATATAATTAAGGTGGCTGTGATCTGCTAACTCCACGAAGGTCTTTAAAATATGTATGACTTACCTGGAAAAATGTAAATTTTTTTAGTTTTTTAGACAAAAGAGTAGATTCAATTTAGACCTAGACCACCTGGGGGCGCGGGGTGGGGAAGGCATCACCAAGTATAGAGCATCAAATGCAGAGAGTTCGGTTGGATTTTAGAAAATTACCTTGAAGGCTGCTAAACAATGAAGGCTCAATAAGGTCATGACAACTGCCAGAAGGATGGTGGCTAAGTTCCGCACGTCCCATATGGTCTCTACCAGAGGAATACTGCCGACCTGCCAGTCATAGCATAGAGTAACGGGTGCAAGCAGAAGCCACACGTTGAAGGCCAAGAGGTAGGAATAGGTAAGGAACCTACGAAGAGAAGAAGAATCACTGAAACACAACTCAATGTCCATGATACTTTGTAAACATTCGTTTACCATGGTTTAATTAAATAGCATTGTATACTGTTGGTGTTACCGGAAAAGACAAGGTAAGATGGAAAGCCACCCATTCATTTCATCATTAAATAGATCGTTCTGGAATATATTTAACAGTTCCAGGCACTGTGGCAGGTGACGACCTTTCAACGGTGAACAAAGAGTTTCCATGACATATATTTAAAAATTATCATATAAATAAATACATTACATCCTGAGATAAATGCCAAGAAGGAAAAGTTTGATGAAAATATATGACAGAAATGCTGTTCTGCTAGGTATGATTCCCTGGGTAAGAGACAGACCTTTAAACTCTCCTTTTTTTCATAGTGCCCAGAAAACTGCTGTAGATAGTAAAATATTTAAGCATGTTTATAACAGAATGATCATACTGAATTATTTCAAAAAAATCAGAGCATCTGTGGTAGGGAAATGAAGTCTCTTAGTCCCAAGTGAAGGGGCTAGCCTTCAAGAGAAGGGAAGGACACCTATCATCCTGCTAAGGAGAACAGACAGACCTAGGGAAGGGAGATAATGAACACAGGGGATACTCCTGTTTTCTGGCTGTGTCTAGCCACTAAGGGAAGGTGAAAGGCATTCCAACTGACCCCACTCTTTTCAGGGTAGAGGAAACTGAAGTTATTTAAATATGTTCGGCCAACACAAATCCATTAAATAGTGGTTAGACCCTTGAGAATTGCATAACTATCAGCACATAACCAACTTCACCCAAACCTGTGCTCTAGGAGACACCAGGCTCCAGCATGGCTTCTACCAGCATGAGGCGCATCCCTAGGATGACCCTGGCCCCCATTAGAACCCTTGCCTGAGAAAGCGCAATGCTGCCAAGGAGAACTGACTGTTGGTTCTAGCCAGTACCAGACAAAGGGCCTCTGACCTCCCTGTCTTTGAGCATTTCTATAAAGGGCTGACAATTGTGAATATGTCTCTCCCACGACTCACAAGTCTTTCTCAAGGACCTGAGAGCCATTCCTTTAAAATGTCCTCATCAGGAAGGACAGGGCCTGTCTCCCAGTGTCTGTAAGAGGATAAGTGCCAGCCAGCAGACACAGCCAGCCTAAATGCACTTGGACGACGGGTCCTTTGAAATTTTTCACTTCTCGGCCTCTTCTGAGCCCTGGCTTGCCCGGCTACTCTCACTCTCCCTTTAAAATGCCCAAATCAGAATAGCGCTCAGCTCCCCCCGCCGCCCCCACTTAACAGCAGTACTGAATGAAATTTATTTTCACGGTTTCAACGGATGTCCAGCCATGTTTCTGTTTGACACCCTATATGGGATTAAATAGAATAATTAGATAAATTCCTTGTCCTCAAAAAGGTGCATAACCCAAGAGTGAAAACAAGATATACACAATCAAAGAAGCGGAATGAGATGAGCACCATGACAGTGCAGAACATGAAGGGAAGTCTTCTGACAGATTCTTTCGGAGGGATTCTTGGATTGGCAAAGGGGTTAGATCAAATCATTTCTAGTTAGCTTCCAATATGAAGAGTTCTTTTACCTTGACTTCCTCTCCACAAGTAGCTACTGGTTAGGAACACCCTTCCCAGACCTTCCCAACTGATCTCCTTCCCTTCCCTCCTTTCCCTCCAAGGTTGGCAGTTACAAATCATCAATGATGGCCAGGTGAGGCTTAGGGGTGGGGATTACTCACTGTCCCAAATCTCAAACCCCAACAGAGAAATAGGTTGAAGGAGTGGGGATCCTTTTTTTTTTTTTTAAGACTTATTTATTATTTATTTGAGGGAGAGAGAACAAGCAAGAGGGGCTGGGGGAGAGGAAGAGAGAATCTCAGGCAGACTCCGAGCTGAGCATGGAGCCTAAGGCGGGGTTTGATGTCATGACCCTGAGATCACGACCTGAGCCAAAACCAAGAGTCAGATGCTTAACAGACTATGCCACCCAGGCGCTCCAGGAGTGGGGATACTTCAGTGGTGTTTTCCAACTCTTTTCCTCTCTGCTGGTATTTTTAATAAAATGTTAATATACAAATCTTGTGGTACACACTGAAAGCTTAATGAAGTCCAAGCTTTATTATTTAACAACAATCAAAACAAAAACACTGCCTCATCCCTTTTAGCCTGGGGGCTGAGAAATTGTCTCATGAGAGAATGCCAACTCCACAGGAGGATGACTGGGTCACTTTGGACTTTGTTTTTTCACAGAGCTTCTGAGCTGACAAAATCTGCTTGTTAGCTCAAGGAAGATTCTCTGTGACTTGGCTTTAAAGAAGGTGGAACCATCAAACAGGAAAATCACAACATTTTGTCACTCAGTTACTCTCCAGGTCTTAAAAATTACTTTTAAAAAATGGTATCTTTCCTTCTTGATATACTAGTTAACAGCAATGATTATAAATGGCTGCTAAAATTATTAGGTGAAAGCTAATAAGGTACTTCATAATGGATGGATCAGCCTACATCAGGTGCCTAGAACTGACTAACCAATTTTAACATCACAGAAAGGGAGACTAATAGCCAAATGTCCTCCTGATGGAGATATATGTCACCACCTATGAAGTAGTCTTGTTCCCCCCAGAAAAAAGAAAAGAAAGAAAATCAAATTTGAGTCTGATCAAACCTTTATCACCAGTTCACATCAAATACAGAAAAAGCCAAAACATGCTACAGGACACCACAGGAACACAATGTGACAAATCCAGAATGTTGCCATTCCACAGGAACAAATGATGTCCAGTTGTTCCACAAAGACGTTGTTAAGAGGGGTGAAAGGGGCAGAGGGGCAAAGGGGAAAAAAGAAGAGGGCATCTGTCAGTCAGATGAGACCTAAGAGGCGTATCAAAGTGCAGATATTGTTTAGGTACTAATTCAAACAATCCATTATGAAAAATAACCACTTATAAGCAAGAAAAAACTCAAGAATCCTTGTTAATTTTCAAAGTGCGATAAATGGTATTGTGGTTATTTTTTTTAAGGATCCTTAGCTTTCAGAAATACATACTAAAAAATATATGCATATGAAATACAAATCTGAGATTTGCTTCAAAATGATGGACTGAGGGTAAGGGCACAGAAGTGGGTAGGGGTATGAATGAAACAAGATCAGCCATGAGCTATGATTGTTGAAACTGGGTAATGGGTCTGTAGTGGTTCTTCATGCCATCTGCTCTACTTTTGCATGTATTTGTTATTATCCACAATAAAAACTATTTTTTTCTTAACTAGGCAACAGAAATGCAACAGGAATACTTTATGTCTAACGGCAGGTTGACCATGGAATAGCTGCAAATGCTAATGTGGATTTTTTTTTTTTTTTTTTTTAAGTAAGCTCCACACCCAGCATGGAGCCCAATTCTGGGTTAAAACTCAAGACCCTGAGATCCAGACCTGAGCTGAGATCAACAGTCAGACGCTTAACCGACTGAGCCACCCAGGCACCCCACTGCTTGTGCTCTCTCTCTTTTTCTGTCAAATAAATAAATAAAATCTTTTTTTAAAAAAATAATATGGGTCAGGTGCCTGGGTGGCTCAGATGGTTAAGCGTCTGCCTTCGGCTCAGGTCATGATCCCAGGGTCCTGGGATCGAGTCCCGCATCGGGCTCCCTGCTCCTTGGGAGCCTGCTTCTCCCTCTGCCTCTCTCTCTCTCTCTCTCATAAATAAATAAATAGAATCTTTAAAAAAAATAAAAAGATTAAATAAAAAAGAATATGGGTCATATTAAAGAATTAAAAATGTGTGATATAAAAAATTGTAAAATGACTCCTGATAAAATGTCCAAAATGAAAAATATCACTACAGTGTTGGGTGAGGATGTGGAGAAACGCAAACTTTGAAGTACTCCTGTAAATTGGTGAAGCCATTTTGGAGAACGGCAGGCAGTTTAAGGCAGCACATTAAATGCATGCATGATCTAGCAAGTCTACTCCTGAGTTTATACCCAACAGCACTGCATACAGATGTTTCCCAAAATACATTTGCAACATTGGGACTATTAAGAAGAGTTGTGAACAAACTGGAGACAACCAGATACCCATCTACAATAAAATGGATATACACATTGTAATATACCCATTCAAAGGAAATCTATTCTGCAACAAGAATGAATGCAACAACATGGATGAACATCATAATGAAGAACAGAAATAGAAGACACACAAGAAAAGGAAATCACAGAAAACCATCTATAGACAAGGACAGGGTGACTGGAAGCAGGACCTGACCCCCAGGACACAGGGCTGAGGCAGAAAGCCACAAGGCAACCCCAACTAAATGGACTGTGTAGATGGCAGTCTGTTGCCCTCATCCCCTCGGTCCTCCATAACAACAGAGTAGAAGGCACCAGGACCTTCCAGGTTTTCCAGGACCAAGGCCCAGCAGTACCACTGAACACTTGCTGCTTCACCACCTGGGAACAGAGAAGGCAAGACCATTTCCAAACACTTAGTGAAATCGGAAAAGAGATGCAAATGACTCTCACCAGCTTCTCATGGCATTTGTTTTTTAAAGTTTTGGTGGATTATAAGAACCAATGGTCTTATCAAACCAGCTCAATTAAAGGTCGGGCTATTTTGGGCACCTGGGTGGCTCAGTCAGTTAAGCGTCCGACTCTTGATTTCAGCTCAGGTCCCAATCTCAGGGTGGTGAGATCAAGTGCCATGTTGGGCTCACACTGAGCCTGGAGCCTGCCTGAGGATTCTCTCCCTCTCCCTCTGCCCTTCCCACCCCATGTGCACATGCACACACGCTCACTTTTGCTCTCTAAATAAATAAATAAATAAATAAATAAATAAATAAATAAATAAAAATAAAGGTAGGGTTATTTTAAAAATTCCCATAAGAATCCAGACGGAAAATAAAAGTAAAACCAGGCTTCTCACGAACCCAAACCAAGTGGTCCGTTAAGCAGGGCAGCACCCTCCCTTTGGGCCATAGGCTTTCCTCATGGCTGC